GCAGTAATCAGGCCTGCGTGTGGCTAGTGAAATTTAACTCAGCTTTCTAAAATAATGTGATTAATCACAATTCTTTCATGATTTAACAGGAGGGGGCAATTAATTTTTGACGTAGAGCCAGGTAGGTTTGGACAGCTTTTTTCACTTAATAAATGAAATCATTTTTGGGAGTCGGTAAGCTTTTGAAATGTTATTCAAAGAAGTAAAAAAAGAGCCCCATATATGTGTATATATATATATATATATATATATATATGTGTGTGTGTGTGTGTGTGTGTGTGTGTGTATGTTTAAGCCTTTATTTTGAGTAAGATTCCATACTAACTGTAAAAGTAAGATATTAATGTTAAGACTTTTGCATATTATAAACTGAACTTAGATGTGGGAAATAATTACAGTTAGATCCAAAAGATAGTTTTAGCAACACAGCGCAGATGCTACAGAACACAGTTAGCTGACTAGCTGTATAAGATTGTGTGCTACGCTAATATATTACTTCACAGGCATTACTGGCTTGTACTTTTACATCCATAATATTATATATTGACAGTTTATTGCTGGTCTGTGGTTTTACGCTGCTGTAATTTTTAAAGATATCATATTATTGTAATGTGAGCTTAAAGGGTCATGCACTACTATGCAAATCACACAGCTTCAGTGTGACATCAATAAGAAAAAGTATAATTTCATAGATAGTCAATGATAGTTGTTCATATTAAAATATGTATAAACTTAATACTGTTAATACTTAATACACCTCCTGTCTTCGCCTTCCTTCCTGCATCACCATGACAAATACGTGACCTAGATTATTTATTTTGCAAAATCTTGTCATTTTTAATAAATATTACATTAAATTTAAAAAAAAAATAGTTGCCGCTCCAATTAAGCTCAGTGTGCTCTTTTTAAGCTCTTCCACATTAAGCGTCTATGTAAATATTTCATAAACAGACTATTAATATTAATATTAACTGATGGTTGTCACTTTAAGTTAATCTTTATAAAATTATTAATAACTTATTTTAACAGCTTTAAGATGACGAAATCTAGACACATTTGTAGTTTATGCCCAATGATTAAAGAGGCATGTCATCCGTACAAAGAAGGAGCCATCAGAAACCTGTCGTATCTGTCCAGGGAAAAAAAGTGACTAAAGGCTGGAATACATTACATGGCTTTTGAAATTTGAACAGATTTTTAAAACACCAGGGGCCTCATTTATAAAATGTGCATACGCACAGATTTGATCTTAGAGTGTGCGTACGCTAAAATCCACGGCAACGTTCATATTTATAAAAACGGTCTTTGACGTGGAAAAGTACTTACCGCCACGTCAGGGTCTGAGCAGGCGTACGCACTTTTCCTTGTGGCAAAGTCGGAGTACTGCAGCTATTTGAACATCTAAGCTGCAATAATAATAAAAGCGGTGTACGTGCAAGCACCGAATTCATCATAAACAAGAGATTAATGTGCAGTGTAGTCAGATTTTTTATTAACGGGAGTTTTTGCGAGATTAAACTGACCTTTTTAGTAGCCTAATGTTCAGCGTTCTTTACTCGCTTTGATATTGGCGTGTGCTCTTTTATATGGTAATGATATTAATTAGGGGGCGTTTACAAGGCGGAGATCTGACACCAGTCAGCTGCGCACAATTTCAAGATCATTTGCGATTTATAAATGTCACATCTGGAAGAGAGGCGTACGCACATGTTTTTGTGCGCACGTTCGTTTTCTCTGAATCGCACTTAGGCACTTTTGAGAAATGATCTTAGAACAAATTTAGGATGGTTTTTACGCAACATTTTATAAATGAGGCCCCAGGCATCACACACTTACAGACTTTGTAAATAGTCACAAAGGAAAACTGGGCATCATACACTTAACGACTGAGGATCACACACTACCAGACTTTAAATTCGTTCCGATCACAACAAACTCATCCAGAAATGTGCACATTGTTGCTAGGAGACACGTGACAAATGAAAACAATATGTGTTTTAATATCTGCTGAAAATATCAAACATGTTTGATATCTTCCGACTGGATGGAATCAAATTCTGAAGCTAAAAAATCAGAGTCTGTGATCATCATACACTACGTGATTTTCTATTAGATATGTCAACTCAAATCTGCAGACTGGTCCTGACTTTTAGCAACTAGCATACACTTCTACAGACTGTAAATCAGTGGAAAATCAGGGCAAAAATCATTTAGTGTATTCCAGGCTTAGAATAGAAATAAGTTGTCATCTATTTGATAAGATGCTTCATAATGAAGCTAGTTTCTGTGTTCATCCTCATGAATGAAATATTTTATTGGTTTGTCTTGTTATTAGATTTTTGAATTTGTGTTACTTAACTGAACGTGGACTAGTCTAGCTGTTGCAATATGTTTGACTGACGCTTTTAAATGATACTATGCATATACAATAACTGATCAAATTGAGTGCCTTGTTGCTTGATTTTAGTGTTCCGTTTTTTTGTGATTGACAGTACCTTCAAATAAAATATTTTTCAATTATTCTTTAAAAATATTGTTTAAAAAAAAATAAAAAAATATGATGTGAGCTTATTGGGAACAGGGGTGTGCTTAAAGGGTACAAAAATGTACCCATTAATGGAAATGCTTTTGTCATTTAAAATAAAATAAAATATTATTGTGTGAGAGATTAATATTTCATTTTAACATAACTTGTACTGAAGCCGATATCTTGTGCACTAAAAATGTCTTAATGTAGATTTTGGTGAGCTTAATGGGTACGTTTGCCCTATCTAATGGTTTATGTTAGCTTAAACACGGCAGCAGTGATTGAATAAGCTTTATATTGAAAATACTTAAGTATGAAAAAATCTGAATCAATCTGCACATTCGAGGGCATCACAAGACTTTATCGCAACCTGTACATAAAAAAAAATTGCCTATTAAATCACATAATTTTTATAATGTTGATTCATGCAGCTTATTAATTGACTAAAACTGTACTGTGAAATGTTTCACAGCTCGCAATAGTACAGGTGCATCTCAATAAATTAGAATGTCGTGGAAAAGTTCATTTATTTCAGTAATTCAACTCAAATTGTGAAACTCGTGTATTAAATAAATTCAATGCACTCAGACTGAAGTAGTTTAAGTCTTTGGTGGGTTTTTGTTAAATGTGAGCCAAAATCATCACAATTAAAAGAACCAAAGACTTAAACTACTTCAGTCTGTGTGCATTGAATTTATTTAATACACGAGTTTCACAATTTGAGTTGAATTACTGAAATAAATGAACTTGTCCACGACATTCTAATTTATTGAGATGCACCTGTATATTTCATCCACAGTATGACCTGGACTAAATAACCATTTCTAAACGTATAAGCTGATTTGTTTAAATGGCTTGGGCTGTCATTCATATATATATACAGTATTCAGTTGTCAACATTTGAAGTGGATCAAAACATTTCATCAAAGTTGTCCTAAAACCTAAAACTAAAATGTGTTCTTGTCTTAGGACAACTTTGATAAACTTTTTTGATCCACTTCAAATGTTGACTACTATATATAGTCAGTAAAGGGAACTGTTATTAGAAAAAGTAATACACAATCATTTGAAGTGACAGTGTGTTTTTTTTGAAAGCACAAGTATCATGCAAAAAAAAAAAACAGTATAAACAAAATGCTGACAGCACAATTTTTGTCCAGGGCAGGCACTCAAAGCTTCAGAGTATGACTGTAAAAGACTTGGAATGTAGTGCATCAATCACAAGGACCACGTTTAGGGTGTATTTTTAATGTATTTATTTATTGGCATGTAAAATTGCGATCCAGTTTCTTTGAATGGAAAGAGCTGTTCAGATGTTTTATTTCTTTTTTTGCTAATAGGTTATTTGTGTTTTGCATAATGGAAATATTTTCATGATGTACACATCATGACACACTTCATTTTGAAAACACGTCATCTTTATTGAACAGTGACATACAGAGAAGCAGTCATGCTTCATTTAGTGCATTACTGTGATGTTTTATGACAACATGTTGAGAAAATGAGAGAGATCTATACTAATTATTGAAATTCAGAAAATGAAGATCTTGAAGAATATGCATTGTAATTTATTGGCTGTATTATATTTATTACATTAATTTGAAGAATCACTGTGGAAACATTTGTTTCTCTGTGATGACATTTTGTTTAAATGATAACTATGTACCTTAACCAAATAAAATGTTTTTCAAGTGTTGTGTAAATGTGCTTAACTTCCTCTACTGTATGTCCTGTTCCATTTCCCGCTGGGGAGGTTTTGTCCAGGACAGTGTGACATTGATGATACCTCTTACTTCCAGAGCAGACTGCAACTAAAAAAACAAACAAAAAAAACAGATAAAGAGTACTTATAGTATTGATTTTAATAGTCTGAGTGGCACATTAACATTGTACGGCCATCCCTTCAGCAGATGCTTTTATCAAAATAAAGAGTAGAACAGGACTTAAAGGGGTCATGAACTGAGAAATCAAAATTCCCTTGATCGTTTGACATATAAGAGGTCATTGTGATGTAAAAACATCCTGTACGTTTCAGAACTCAAAACTGCCTCATTAGTCTAAAAACAGCTTATATTGAAGGCAGTCTGCCAAAACGACAACTCTGGGAATGTACCACTCTATAATGTAATAGTGTGGATAAGCACCGCCTCTGCTGTGTAAATCACTGCTGCATGATCCAGAACTCACTTTAACTAAAGCCATATCAGCATGCCAGATCTATGAACAAACTGAGCAGCACACTAAATATCTAGTAACACTCCAAACAACAACAATGCAATGGCTGCAAGAAGTGGAACCATTTTAAGAAATGTTGCAGCTCCACTCAAGCAAACCAAGCAAAATGCCGCTATACCAAAACCGTCCACAATATTGAACCACACCAGACAAACAGTGAATAAAGTGAATCGTTCTTCATTGACAGAGTAACTGCAGAGTCTGTTGATTCCATGACCAACCTAACACAAAAGAGTGAACTGTACAGCACTGTACACATATATGGTTAGCCGGTGGAAATAAAAGTGGACACCGGAGCCAAGTGTAATGTAATGGATTTAGACACTTTCCAGCACCTGCGAAAAGGGGAAAAGAACTTGATGTGTCAAACACAACAAAGCTAATAACTTATGGTGGCAACGAGCTACACACACTTGGCACAGTCACACTACCATGCAGTCTAGCCAGCCAGACTTATGACCTGATGTTTTATGTCATCAAAAGCTCCGCACAGCCACTACTGGGTCTACCTGACTGTCTACGCATGGGACTTCTAACACTTAACAAGGAAGTCCACCAGCTGAACACATCCGGTCAGGGTGAATTTAAGGACAGAATTCTCACCAAATATGCTGACCTTTTCAAGGATGAGGTGGGTAGACTACCTGCCACATATTCCATGAAAATTGACCCCACCATACCTCCTGTCTTCCGACCAGCAAGACGCATTCCAGTTGCTATGCAAGACAAGGTTAAAAAGGAGCTTCAGCGAATGACAGATCTTGGTGTCATTACACCCATTTCTGAACCAAGTGAGTGGGTGTCTTCCATGGTTGCTGCTCATAAAAAAACAACATCTGAATTTGTATAGACCCTAGAGACCTGAACACAACTATACAAAAACCCCACCACCCAATGAGAACGGTTGAGGAAGTTGCAGCCCAGATGTGAAATTCCACCATCTTTTCTGTGCTTGACACACAAAAAAAAATATTTTGGTAAATATCCCTAGACCATAAATCATCCTTACTTACAACATTCAGCACCCCTTTTGGCCGATATAGATTTCTGAAAATGCCTTTTGGCATAAACTCGGCTAGTGAAGTTTTTCAACGCTCGATGGAGCACATTTTCACTGGATACACTTGTGCTGTCATTGAAGATGATATATTAGTTGGTGGACACACAGTAAAGGAACAAGACGACAACCTGGAAAGAGTGCTTAAATGGGCGAGACAAATTTGCCAATTTTTTACAAATTTACAAATATGCAAGTTTAGACTGAACGAGTTGAACTATGTGGGCCATGTCTTCAGCAGTGACGGCCAACATGCCGATCCATCAAAGATTAAAGTCATCAATGTAATGCCAGAACCCACCAAAACAACTGCTCTTCAGAGATTTCTTGGCATGGTCAACTACATGGGCAAGTTTATCCCTAACCTCAGTGACATATCTGCCCCACTCCACCAGCTAACACACAAAGACACGGTATGGTGTTGGCTGCAGCAGCACCAGGATGCTTTCAACGCCTTAAATAAATGCCTTACACGCCCTCCTGTCCTGTTGTATTACAACGTTGACAAGCCTGTCACCTTAACATAGTTTGGTTTAGGAGCGGCATGCCTACAGGACAACAAGCCTATCGCTTATGCTTCACGGGTCCTCACGGAAACTGAAATGCACTATGCGCAAATAGAAAAAGTACTCCTCGCTATATAGTTTTTGCTTGTACCAAGTTCAATTATTACATCTATAGCAAAACAGTGACCATTGAAACTGACCACCAGCCTTTCGTGACAATCACCAATACACAGCACTCCTGCTTGACTCCAACGAATGTTGCTTCAGCTCCAACGATACAACATCACCCTAGTCTACAAAAAAGGAAAGCACTTGTACATACATGACAAGCACATGACACCTTGTCACAAGCTCCATAAGAATCTGTACATGAATAGTCCATGGAACAAAATACCTTTGAGGTAATGAATGTTTGCAATATCTCACCACCACGCATGGATGAACTTAAATGCCACACAGCTGATGACGCCACTCTACAAATGCTTGTGAACACAATCAGACAAGGATGGCCAAATAAACTGCACAGCCTTCCCCCAGCAATGCGGCCATTTCACCCATACAGACATGAATTGATCACAGATGATGGACTTGTGTGGACAGAGGAAAGCCTTACTACTATTAGAGCAGCAGGTAGACCGTGCCAAATTAGATGATTTCAAGCTGTTGTGGTCGTGTAGCGACAGCGGTCGTGTCCATTGTAGACATTACTATTCGTCACAGTGTTGCCAAGTCCGCGGTTTTCCCGCGGAATTTGGCTACTTTATCCTGTTGCCCCCTCGAAACGCGGTTAGTTTGGGCTAGTTTTGAGTAGCAATTGGGCGGGTTTTGTTGTGGAAACCTGGCAACCCTTTCCTTCAAGCAGGTGACGTTATTATTGCTAACATAGCGGACTCATCGAAAAATACATCATACAGAGAAAATAATCACTTCATCCAATGTTTAAGTGAATAAAATAGCCTTGACAGCCTTACTTACTAGAGTTCCACAATATTGACTTTGTTCTCCCTCACTCGACTCGTGTGTGTGTGTGTGTGTGTGTGTGTGTGTAGGTGATGTAAAAGAGGAAAGCAGGCATTTGGACCAAAGCACTGTGACGCAAGGGAGGGGGAGACTCAAAATGTTTCTAAACTTAAAATGCATTTTTGCCCCGTTTGTGTTGTTTTACTACTTACACAATTATTTAAAGTATAAAACATTGTTATTTGCAATACACAGCTTGGTTTTTAATCATATTTTAGGGGGGACAACCCTCAGATAGGGGGGGTCCTGCCCCCCCCGGGATTTCCGCCTATGGTCGCAACACAAAAGAGTGAGTAACTGTTTTAATCACATGGTCACTATTGCTCTGTCTGTTTTTACAGATCGTTTGAGATGCAAGTATTTATGTGTTTTTAACCAAAATCATATCAGCGTCCATTTATGAAGGATGTAGACTGTCAAACATACACAACTGTGGGTCAAAACAGGACAGGAAATAGCCTATTACTTCTAAATTATGATGTTTTTGATATACAAATTTCGATAACATTATAAATGGACTTCAGAGAACAGTACAAAATAATAAAAAAGGCAGTTCATGACCCCTTTAAATATAAAAAGTGCTTTTGTTAATGGCAGTGAATTAGTTGGAAAAGGTGTATTCAGCTGTTTCTGTACAAATTTGAAGGTTTTAGCAGATCAGGTGAAGATTGGCAGCTTGTTTCACCACAGAGAAAGTGAAGTTTCTGGAAAGCAACTTCTTGTTTCATTATTGAGGCATAAACTGTTTTATAAATCTGCATGATACATTTTCTTACTTGCTACTGTTATGAAACATACAACAACATACAGTGAATTGTGTTGTACTGTTGTAGTAATGGATTTTACTGATTGATGAAATCTTGTGTATTCAAAATAGGCATCTTCAATTTTATGCTTTTATTTTTTACTTTTATATTTAACAAAAAACAAACATTCATGAATTAGTAAGCATTTCTAACCTGATAGAGGAGATTATCACTCTCTAGGCCAGCTAAGTCAGAAGTGGAGGCAAATTTCATCTTCACAAAGTGTTTTATCACTGGAAAAAAAAAATCACAAATACACACAATAAGTGAACACACAAGTCGTAGAATGAGTTTTACAAGATAAATAAATTAGATTGTGGACTTTTGTCAAGATAGACATCAAACTTCTTTTGACGTGAGTAAAAACAAGGCTGTGAGATAGGGCTGGGCGGTATATCGAGTTTGTACGATATATCGATATACTCTTTATAAGCGATACAGTATGATGCAATACCATTCATATTGATATACAGTAGTTTGATACGAGCGCATTTGAAAAATAGCAGAGGACATGGAAGTGCATCATCTAATTTGTCCTAAACATGATAAATGCTTTATATTAAGGACTTTAAAATAACTGGTAAGGTATAGTTAACATGTATATTTTAAAGTGGCTCGCTCCGTCAGAAGCTTTGACAGAAAGGCTGCGTTTGCCGCTGACAGAGCAGCCTGGTCTCATTGTTTATACGTAGGCATTAATGTGTAACAGTTACAAACACAAAACATACATTTTTGTACGCTTTTATTGATGCTGAAACGTACAATTTAGATGTATTTCAATGTTTAAAACGTACAAGATGCTACGTATTTTTAGTCAAAAAAGTAAAATATTTACATATCTTTTATATCATTAATATATTCATACCATTAAACCTAAACCTACCCATTTTATAGCGAATATAAAAGGACACAAAACGTAATTGACTGAAATATGCAGGGTAATGGATATTATTCTTATTATTCTTCTGTACAAACTTCGGCGCGTAACTCGTCCCGCACGGTTTGTCACAATTTCTCACAAACACACAAAAGAGGCGTCAAATCGTGCGGCCTATTGAGGAATGGTGTGCTATGACTTTTATAAGCGATCGGGCGTACGATGTTCGTACAGTGGGCGAAAAATCGGCCGAAAAATCCCATAGACGTTGCATTGTGGCCAACTTTGACGGGTCGTAGCTCAGAGAGAGAATTTCGCAGAAACATGTGAATCACCACATTTGAAGAGGCTATCAAGCTGTGCGAGAACATACCCCGCAGTGGTGTATAAGTTGTACCCCTGGGGCCCAAGAGCCCCCCAAAGTTGTCCCATAGACATACTATGGTGAGGGACGGCCCATGAAACAGCATCTGAACACGTTTTTTCCTACTATGGTAATTTACATAGGAATTTTGCATCGAACATAACTCTGCATCACAATGTCATAGAGACATGGGGGTGGGCTCATTTTACTCAGGCAACCAATCAGACTCTCAGTATCACTGTAAAGCTGTCAAGCCACGCCCTAGCAACCATTTAGGGCACCCTAGCAACTGATCCCATAGACTGCCATTATAAAAGCCCAGATGGATGTCTTTGGATCACAGGGTCATAGAGACATGGGGGTGGGCTCGTTTGACTCTGGGCAGCAAACAGCCAATCATTAATCACAATAGACACTTCCTAGCCACGCCCTAGCAACCACTATCGAGCACACTAGCAACCCAAACTCAAAGAGGCATATCTTCAAATCTGAATGTCATAGATACATAAGGGTTGGTTTATATCATTCATACTGGCAAGCAGCATTTGGAGTGTCATCATTGGCAGCTGCTAAGCCACTCCCTAGCAACCAAACAAAGTACCCTAGCAACCATTTAGCAAGTCCTATAACTTTGCATCAGAATATTGTATAGGCATGGGAGTTGGTTATTTTGACTCATGCTAGCAAACAGGACTTCAAACATGTTAGTCATGCTAGCAGTGAATAGCTACATGCTAACAGTGATTAGCTAAGTGCTATTTCAGGCTAAGAACATGCTAAGAACTCTATAAAACTCCATAGTAAGAATCTGTGACAACTAGCAACACCCTAGCAACCACCCCGGTTACTCTAGCAACTCCATTGGATCAATATTAACATTTAATAAAAAAAAAACTTAATATGCAATACCATAAGTAATCCAAATGGCGGTGTTACAGCCAGTTTTGGTCAAGTTACTCTGAAAATGTAATCAAATTACTGATTACTCCTTTTAAAAGTAATCACGTTACTGTTCTGATTACTTTATTTCAAAAGTAATTAGTAATTAGTTACATTACTAGTTACATTACTTTTTTCTCCATGAAATGTATGAAATCCCAGCATACATGCTCCCGATAAATATTTGTTATTAAAGCATCAACATTCACAGCACACTTATTTGTAACTAAAACAAGCGGCTGCTGCGTGCATGGTTTGGCATGGCAGAATGCCAGCAAAGAGCGCTGCATTTATAATCTCTAAAAGACATCTCAGTTCAACGCAATCTCACAAATCTCTGTTATAACACAATAAATATATGCATAATG